GGGTGTTCAGACCGACAAATGGTCGCACCTCCTCGTGTCCTTACAATGTCCTAAACTGTGCAATGGCCACCGAACCAGAGTTTTCAACTCACTGTTTTCCGTGGAGCGAGGATATCTCCAACTACTTCCATCAGACCTGCTGGAGGCGCCTAACACCTACACGTTCAGAAAGAGACTAAAGAAGGTCGATCTGATGACCTTGCTAAGCATTCAGGATTCTGAATCCAGTAGTTTAGTGAAGTCTTTCCTCGTTTGCTTTGTGTTACCGTTTTTGTCATTATTTGATGTATGGGGCGTATTCTTTTGGTTGTTCCATTACATCCTAAGCCTATCGCTTGCACTGTTTACGCACTATGCTGCATGCATACAATAAATAATCTTTCGTTATTCGCTCCGTTCCAGATAGTCTGCCAGCGACTCCGGTACATAGTGTTATTTACCTTCCAAAAAAAAAATGCCCCCCCTCTCCCGTCATCAGTGCGAAATTGACTGGAACTTCCAGCTGCAGGAAGATCTACGTTGCGGGGACGCACACAAATAAAGTGAGACTCTAAGTAAGTTCGTGAGGTAAGTTACTCCCCTAAAATATCTTAAAGTAGGCCACGATGAAAAAATCATCATTTCTTGCCCATCTTAAACTTAACGTCTTCCAGACCCGAAAGGGTTTAGAAGAGCCAAGATAGATAATATCCGAAAAGGACGCGACTCAGAAAAAGTAGGAAAATGAAAAAAATTACCTCGTCTCCGAATGGGCAGGCGCTGGGACAAGATCAGGACAGCAAGAGCAGGGAGATTATCCTGCAACGAGTCATGTGAGCGCTGCAACTCGGCCACGGGTACAGCACGTCCATTTGGATGTCGAGATCTGAATGAACCTCTATGAGTACAATAAAGGCCTTGAAGTTTCAGCATTTGACACGTTTAAGAACCAAAGCGACATCGTGGACTTTAATAGACACTGAAGTGTTTCTCAAACAAGGACACCCCACACGCGAACGATGACAGCAGAAGAAAAGGGCTCTATACAGTTCGGAGGAAAGATTACTGGGAATTTCTGTTCTAGGACTGGACATCAGGAAGAATGTAATTGGAGACAAGTCCAACATGAAAAAAGAGAAGAAAAAATGAAAATAATGGAAAATCACGTCACAGTTCAAGAGATGTGACTCAGTGGTGGGTTATGCGTCCCTATCAGACCTACTGCCGTCCTTGCCCTCTGCAGTGGACTGTAATTAATACTGTGGACCCACACGACGGTTCCCAAATAGAAATCTTAGATGAATTAACCGGTCGTCGTAAGGCTTGTAACGAACTACGGTGGCGAATGTTGGCCGGCATACAAAACCCTTGAGGGATAGCTCCAGTCCACTGAAATGAGAATGCCAAGGCCTACGGCTGGACAGTCGCAGTCATGCAGACAGCCTCTAACCAACTGAAGAAACGACAGCAGCGACTGCGATGGGAACACTGAGAAAGTCTGGATCCCTCTTTAGTGAAAGCACTGAATTCCGAAGCTCATGACGAAGGACCACCCGACCCAATGAACCTTGAAAAAAAAACAGATGGAAGAGCGTCACTGAGAAAGACCCACCTGAAGACAAGGCAGAAGAATATGAGAAAATGGAATGACTGAGAAATAATGAAAATAGAATGGAAAAAGAATGGGAAACAATGTACAATAATACAAGGTAAGAGCAGTAATGGATGCACCACATTCGCAGCTCCAAAGTGCTTGGCGGGAATGTCGTCATGGCAGTGGAGTGTTGTGTCTCAGAGACCTTACCGCTCAAAGGCAATGATTACATTAAGGACTCCCCTTACCGTCCAGAGCAGGTACTATTGCATGCGAATGCAGTTCGCAAACCAGCATCGACCCAGCTCAACCGGCCAAAGTTGCCGTTGGCACGTCAAATGGCCAGTCCTTCGGAACCATGATCTCTTATTGATAACACGTCAATTTATCGACAACCAATCCTCTACTCTCCCTTCGCCGGTGTGGCTTGGCTGCTCTCTCTCGAACCAAAGAGCAATCCCCATTAGTCACCGTCAAAGCTACGTTTCACCTTCAGGAGCCCTACTTGGCAGGACAATTCTTAGTCGAGTAAGGCCGCTGCTGCTCCGGCTGTGCTCGTGGAAGCTCTCAGGTGAATGGCGTTTTCGATTAAACGAGGGGGGAGGGGTGAGTGAGGGAGAAAGTAGGGGGAGGGGTGAGCGAGGGAGAGAGTGGGGGAGAGGGGTGAGCGAGTGAGACAGAGAGAGTGGGGGGATAGAAGGGTGGGTGAGATACATGGGGAGGGGAAGGGCGAGTGAGGGGAAGAGGGAAAGGGGGTGAGAAGGGGGGAGGAAAGGGGGAGGGGAAAGGGAGTGGGGAGGGGAAGGGAGTGAGGTGAGGATAATATGAGGGGGGGGAGCTCTGCTTTACCTTTTATCTACTTGCATCGAACTATCGAGCTAAAATATAGGGCTTGTAGGGATATAAATCCATGAAGATCAGTCCCGAGCAGTAATGGAACTCAAAAATACCTAAAGCTCTTGCCGGCGAGGCGGTGTATAAGGATGTGTGAACCCAGGCTACTAGCTGAAGCTGAAGCGTTCAATATCAGTTATACTACTGCACTTGAATTTTGAAAAAAATGACCGCAGTTTCTTGACCAACATGTAAGGAATCTGAAGAAATTGCCATGAATACGAGAAAAGCCATCCGTTTCAACCGTTGAAACGCTTTGGAAAGCAAGAAAACCTATAGAAGAGGAACAAGTATGGAAGATTTGCTAAAACTCCACACAAGGCGAGGAGAAGCTAGTCAACTATCAGAAAGAGAGAGGTCCAGACATTCCCTTCCATGACTCAAAATCAGAAGAGAAATCTGAATGAGGAAACGTCCAGCGATCGAGTGTTTTCAGAAATCAACACATCGGAAAGCGGTAATCCAAGCTAAAGGATGGGTCGGTGAGTAGTGGACTTTCCACTAATCTTTTCGGCTGTAGGAGACTCTGCTCGATTGCTGTAACCCGCTTGTGCTCGATTCCGAGTTTAGATATATTCAATCAAAAATAAAATAGTATACGCCTTTGCGTGCTATCCTACATACCAAGTCGCAGAACATTAGGCTGATCGCGGCACCATTCGATTTTTGACCTTAGACATGGTCTGCGTGTCCCTTTACAGATCGTTCGCTGGTGTTAAATCCCAGTTTTAAAGAAGTAACAGGTCTTGGACAGTGGAAAAAACTGACGCACCGCTGTAGGGATGTGCCACCGCCTTACCTTCCACTTACTAGAATACCAACAACAGCTTCAAAGCATGTCATTTTTACGTAGGCTTCCAGATTTAAGCGATGGGCAAGACGACAGAATAAAAGGTGCCACGTTTTACAGAACTACAGTCCACCGACTGACGTTAATGCTGAGGAGGAGGAGAAGAAGAAAATGTTCCATGTCACCCCCTCTATTCCAGTTCAAAGAAATGACCATCCTAAGCGCGATGAGGTTCCCCTAACGATGCCTACCAGAAGTTGAAAGAAAATGACAGGTAGACAAAAATCTGAAAAAATTTTTTAATGTCCTGTTCTACCCAGCGGGAAAGGGGATGCCGCTCTTTCACTAAACGACACCTACTACTGGTTCATGTTATTTGAAAGGTTTTCACTAAATCAAGATCCCTGTGAAACTGCGAAATGGTACAAGTAGCGGATCGGTTACAATAGTTCACCGGTTTCACAATATATGGGCGTCAAGCGTCGTCGCGTAGCACTTGGTGCCCCCACCAGGCCGAACCTTGCCTGTCTGAGCATAAATTAGTGGTATTCCTGAGAAATGGTAAAGACATCAACAGTGACATCCAACTATGATCCTCCCTATCATCCAAAATTAGCAATGAGAACTTCTTAAATGGCAAATGTCTACGATTTTATGTCAGTGTGGGAGTTCTGAGCTGCCAAAAGTGGGGCCCGCTAGTCCCTTCAAAAACTTTAATGTGACAATGAACACAGAAATTGAGTAGTTCTAGTAGAAACATAGGAAATAATATAGACGATTGGGAAGAATAAGGCTGCGTTTATACTTTGCGGCAGCGTAGCGTAGCGTAGCGCAGCGTAGCGTAGCGCTTCCAGCGTACGCCAGCGGCAGTGCCGAAGAGAAGATGCATATCGATCTAGCTTCACCAGCGTCACCAGCGGGCACGCGCTGGCGTACGCTGGAAGCGCTACGCATAACGCTGCCACTGCGCTACGCTACGCTGCGCCAAAGTATAACAGCAGCCTAAGGTCGACGAAGTAGAATGGACTGAGCTTGGCCCTGCCATAAAGGTGGCGCTCCGCTTTTATCGATATTCGAGGGCACTTGCTGATGGCATGGGCTCTTTTCGTGATCATCCGCCGTGCTCGATCATTGTTGCCCACATCAGTCGGATCTTTCACTATCTGGAAGTTAAGGTGCGCGAACGAGACCAGCCGTAGAAGCTTAAATGCCTCCTACGTGACAATTTCACCTATAACGCTCTTTCCCGTCCTCGTCATATCGTGGACTTATCGTCCCACACCCGGGTGACACGTTAGGTGACACACTTCACTGACTTTTTCACTTGGGTGACACGCCATCGTGATGCTTCATCACAATGGCTACTTCGACCAGAAAATTTTTCTCGCAAAGCGCACTGGTATGATCACTCTACGATATACACGAAACAAAACATCAAGAAATGTAGTACAATTACTGGTTGCAAACATTTATTCAACGGACACGGTAGTTTGTAAGCGTTAAAATGGCGCCAGTTCGGGTTGCCTTAGGTGAGAGGCATTTTGTGGGGTTCCAGTCGTCACTCTGCGAAGCCTTTCTGTTGCTCATGTGAATCCTTGTGAAGTATTGCTATGAGGAGCTTTCTCTACTTGACAAAGAGCTTACACTTCTCGTCAAGGTAGGACGTGCTACTTAACATGGAGCTAGTAAAAGGCAACAAAACAAATTGCAAATGCCCTCCCAAGCCGAACAGCGTCTTTGAAATTATTCGATTTGCACGGAGTGTACGTGTACATCTCCGCCAATGTCGATGGACGTGATTGACCAGCCGGACTGTCGTTCTTGGAAGTCATGGAGTAAGTGTCCATTGCTGTATACCTGAAAATTTTGGAACTTCATAAAAGTGGCCAGCACGAAGGTCAGATGGGTCAATTCATCTGCTGCTTCCTGAAAGATATGCTTGGAGTAACCTTTCTACGATCGGATCGGCGGAGACTCTTAACTACTGCATTATCTCCTATGGCGAGCCCCTCCGAATACGATAACAACAAAAGACGCACCAAGAATGCATAACGGTTGCGAGTCTCCGCCCATCCCATCAACGTGGAATATTGTGTTTTAGCTCCCGGTTGCGGCCAATTCGACCACGCTGAGTTGCGCCACAAGTGCATCGCCGCTCAAAAAACAAAGAAAAGTTACCGATACTGAATTGCTTCCCTGTCGCGATGAAGTCCAAGGTGTAGATTTCCTTCAGTCTGAATGGAAATACCGTACGAGTTCCTCTCTCCTCCGTCTGCCAATGTCCGCGATAGTATGAGTTGAACACCAAGTCTCCCGTCTGAAATGGTAATTGGTCGAAAATCAAAAAAAAAACAAGTGTTTTTCTGTTACAGTAATAGCAGTGCCCGTTTAGGGTCGACATAGGGTTAGAGGAATGTCCGAGGGAAAGACCTTGAGAGCACATCCCGCGATAACTGGATGGGTGGAGGCAAAGGGCCACTGCGCCTTCCTTACAAGTGACTTCTTTCTCATCAGACAATAAAGAAAGGATCCACACAAGGCGAAGGTTCTCTATTCCCGCCCATTCGATCAGCATGGAATGAGCATTTAATCTAGTTTTTGACCCTGATGAATATCCTCCTCACAAAAGACGGTGAATAGCTGGTGTTAATGTCTAGCTTCCGTAGATCTCCGTTATTAATGAGTGGCCCTTCACAGTGCTCCAACCATACACAATACCCTTTGTTGGCCCCTCTAAAAATAGAAGAGCAGAAAAAAATTTCTCGGAAACATATCTATTCCAATATCACAAATGTACCTTGAGACGAGGATTGAAGTGGACAATAATGTCTTCCCCATTCTTCAGATTGACCTGAAATCAAAAGAAATAAAATATGGACACAATAAATACATTCATCATCCGGGCAGCTGA